TGGCAAGAATACTGGAGTGGGCTGCCATGCCCTTCTCCAGGGGATCTTCCTGACCCAGGGATTGAACCTGAGTCTCCTGCAGCTCCTGCACTGAACACAGATTCTTTACCGTGAGCCACTGGGGAAGCCCAAAAAGTCAGGAATATCCATGAAAATTTTGAAGAACAAGGTTGGTAGGCTCAACCTAGCACATTTCTGTATTTATTATAAAGCTATGGTAACTAAGGCAGTGTGGTATCAATACAGGAAAAAGAATGTGAGCCAAGGGAACAGACTAGAGATCCAAGAAACATACCTATGAATTTGAAAACTTACGCAAATCACTGGAAAAAGGATGATAAATGATGCTAGAGCAACTGGTTATCAGTAAGGAAAAAAATCAGATCCCTAACTCATATTATACACAAAAATCAATTTCAGGTGAAAGAAGAGACCTCAAAAAAAAAAAAAATCCCTTAAACCTAAAATGTAAGAACATCTTTATGACCACAGGGAACAGAAAGATGAATTATGACACAAAAATTACAAATCTGAAAGAAAAAGACTGATAAATTTAACTACCTTTAACTGAATAATCTCTCTGTGTACAAAAATACCATAAGCAAATAGAAAAGGCGAAGTGTAGCCTGAAGACCATCATGGTCTGAAGAGCTTCTAAAAATTAATAAGAAAGAAAAAAATAGTCCAATGGCTAAAGGGCAAAAGAAAGTAGCAATGAACGAAAGAGGAAACCTACATGGATTATAGGTACAAAGATATTTTCCCCCACCAGTCTTCAGCGAAGACAGTGAAATATCACTGACACTCATCAGACTGGCAAAAATGATTAAATCTGACATCATCAAGAATGGGGCGAGGACATGGAGCACAGGGACTCTTGGACACTCCTGGGATGGGTGTACACTGGTATTTCTGCTATCTGAGCCACACGACATGTCCAGTATAAGCGAGGGTACATTTGCCCATGATGCAGCTACTATTTTATTCCCACGTGTACACAGCCTAGAGAAACTCTAGTCCCAAATATGTGTGAGCATGCTAAGTCGCTTCAGTCACTTGTGGCCGACTCTTTGTGACCCTATGGACTGTGGTCCTCCAGATTCTTCTGCCCATGGGATTTTCCAGGCAAGAATAACTGGAGGGGGGTTGCCATTTCCTCCTCCAGGGGATCTTCCAGACCCAGGGATCGAACCCATGTCTCTTATGTCTCCTGCATTGGCAGGTGGGTTCTTTACCATTAGTGCCACGTGGGAAATCCCAGACACACATCACAGAATATCCACAGCATATTGCTATGAACTAAGATACTGATGCTGGGAATGATTGAAGGTGGGAGGAGAAGGGGACAACAGAGGATGAGATGGTTGGAGGGCATCACAGACTCGATGGACGGGGAAGTCTGGTGTACTGCAGTCCATGGGGTCGGACACGACTGAGTGACTGAACTGAACTGAACTGACTGAAGATACTGTAATATATGTGATTTCAACAACATTTGTAAACATACACATGTGGGTGATGGTGCCATGATAGGCACTGGTTTTAAAGACAGTCTGTGATGTGACACATCACAAATTGAACCATATTCATCAGACTCCTTTTAGAACTTGTGGCATCATACTTTACAGTGGGTATAGACAGAGAGAATGCCAGCCTCAAGACCATCTTAAGACGATTCTGATGCATTCCCTCAGGAGGACCTGCTCACTCTCCTTGACCCGAGACGTGAGCACCCCCGACCAGGTTTCGGCATCTCCCTTCTCCTCCTGCAGCCCCATCCTGCTGCGCTGCAGGTGTGACATGGACCTGAGAGCTCTGCTTTCCCAAGGACACTGGGCACAGCCCGGGGGGCTCAGACGGTGAACAGTCTGCCTGCGGCGCGCGAGACCCAGGTTCGGTCCCTGGGTTGGGAAGATCCCCTAGAGAAGGAACTGGCAACCCACTCCAAAATCCCATGGAAGGAGGAGCCTGGAAGGCTACAGTCCATGGGGTCACAGAGAGTCAGACACGACTGAGCAACTTCTTCTGAGTACAGACACAACCCCACACTGTGAAAATAATCCGTCCACTTGTCTCCAAGCCAACAGGGTGTCATCTCAGTTATCTTCACTACTTTTTAATGAGGCAGTATCACCTATTCATTAGCACTAGTACCACAGATCATTGATAAAACACTCTGTCTCAACGCTATTGCTTTTCACACCTTGTGAGGTTGCTATTACTTGCTTCCCCAAAGTTGTAGAGAATCAAGTACCTATTTCAAAAGTCAAAGCAGTCTGTAAATATATAGATAAGTAACAGTGTAGAGCACTTCGGCAGGGCTGAAACTTTATCACAGACAAGAAGACTAAAAGCCCCTCATGCCCAAGGCCCCTTCCTGGAGTCAACTTTATTACTCAGATATTGTATGCTATCACTTATATGTGGAATTTAAAAAGTACAATGAACTATTCAATACAGCAAAAAAGAAGCAGAGCCACAGACACAGAGGACAAACTAGCGGTTACCAGTGGAGGGTGGGCAACGCAGGGGTGCGGGAGGAGGAGCTACAACCCCCCGGGTACAAGACAGGCTATGAGGATGTACAGCACAACATGCGGCGTACAGCTAATATTCTGTAATAACTGTAAATGGAGTGTAACATTTAAAAATTGCATAAGAAAATTTTAAGTTAAAACCGTTTAAAAAAAAAAAAGAATTGGGATGAGTATATTGTTGTAGAATACAGCGGCTCTGCTGCTGCTAAGCTGCTTCAGTCGTGTCCGCTCTGTGCGGCCCCATAGACGGCAGCCCACCAGGCTCCTCTGTCCCTGGGATTCTCCAGCCAAGAACACTGGAGTGGGTTGCCATTTCCTTCTCCAATGCATGCATGCACACTAAGTCGCTTCAGTCGTGTCCGCTCTGAGAGACCCCATAGACGGCAGCCCACCAGGCTCCTCTGTCCCTGGGATTCTCCAGCCAAGAACACTGGAGTGGGTTGCCATTTCCTTCTCCAATGCATGCATGCACACTAAGTCGCTTCAGTCGTGTCCGCTCTGAGAGACCCCACAGACGGCAGCCCATCAGGCTCCTCTGTCCCTGGGATTCTCCAGCCAAGAACACTGGAGTGGGTTGCCATTTCCTTCTCCAATGCATGCATGCACACTAAGTCGCTTCAGTCGTGTCCGCTCTGAGAGACCCCACAGACAGCAGCCCATCAGGCTCCTCTGTCCCTGGGATTCTCCAGCCAAGAACACTGGAGTGGGTTGCCATTTCCTTCTCCAATGCATGCATGAATGCTAAGTCGCTTCAGTTGTGTCTGACCCTGTGCGACCCCATGGACAGCAGCCCACCAGGCTCCTCCGTGCACAGGATTCTCCAGGCAAGAATACTGGAGTGGGTTGCCATTTCCTTCTCCACAGCAGCTCTGAGAACATTCTAAAGAACACCAACAATTCTCATGTATCCTATGATTCTCACCTGTTCAACCCCTAAGATAAAGGAAGCAATATAGTGAAGGACAGGGGAGCCTGGCATGCTGCAGTCCGTGGGGTCACAAAGAGTCAGATACTTAGTGACTCAGCGACTGAACAACCACAGCGCTAGGTGCCTGTTCACTGTGCAGAGCGCTCGGCATGTCTTGGTATCAGCCCTGGCAAGATGAGGTCACTACCAGATCCAGGAGGAAGTTCACCACTGGCTAGAATGGGTCCTTGGAAATAATGGGAACTCCAGACAGTAAACCAATTATCTTAGGCTGGAAATGTTTTCAAAAAAACTTCTGATGGGAGCTCGTGGCAGTTGCAGCTAACCAGCTTCAAAGCCTGTCACAGGTTCCTGTGCACTGGAGGAGATCTGTTCTCAGCGTCCTTTCAAATTCTGATGAGCTGGCCAGACATTTGCTTCAAAATATCTCTAGTTTTTCCTAATTGTGTCAGCAGTGGCTCCTAGAAAGGCCTTTTAAAATATCCTTTAATCTTCAGTGTATTTGTCTCTTGAGGTATTTATGTCTTTGTGAGAACCAAAAAGTTTTACATGTTATAAAAGAATGTCATGGTTCCATATTTTACTTTTTACAACCTTGGAGGTAACGGTCAATCATGAGATAATCCCTTTGACATTCACTCAAAGCTCTTTGATTAAATCGTTAACTGTTATTCTTGGGGACTAGGGGTGATTATTTCACAATGCCTGATGGTTTCTTTTGGAATCAGCATTTATTTTATGAACAAATCCACCTCATTTTTTGTTCTTTTCAAACCAGACAGTTTTAGAGTGACCAGTACTTAGTACATTCTTAAGTGCTGGAGAACATTTGAAAATTTAGTCAGAACAGCAAATCTTATAAAATCACAGATGTTTCAATAACTCTAGTTAGAAGAGCTACTTCTCTGGAAAAGTAAGATAGATTTCAAGCACACAAAACCATGAAAAAGGCTGGACAGAGTGCTTAGCTATGACACCAAATGTATGATCCATAAAAAAAAAAAAACAAAAAAACTGGACTTCAAAATTAAGATTAATGAATTTAGTTAATTAAATTTCAGAAAATAAAAACACAAGTCAGAGTCTGAGAAAATATTTTCAAATCATATTATCTGATATAGGACTTATATCTAGAGTACATAAAGGAATCTTACAAGTCAATGTAAAAAGAGAGATAATCCAGTTAAAATACACGCAAAGATTTAAAAAGACATAACTCCAAAGAATATACACAAATGGCCCATAAGTTCATGAAAATGTGTTCAGCATCATTAGTCATCAGGTAAAACAAAGTAAAAACCACAATGAGACATCACTTCATACTCACCAGGATATGGAGAAACTGGAATTCTCATACATCATGGGTAGGAATGTAAAACTGGTATGGCCACTTTGGACAATAGTCTGGCTATTTCATTGAAAGGCTAGAGTTCCCATATGACCAAGCAATTCCACTTCTAATTATTTATCAAGATAAATTTTGTAAAAAAATAAGAAAGAAAGAAAACCTCCCTTTGTGCAAGGGTTTTACTTACTGAGGTTCCACTTTAGGCCTGTTGTCGTCACCTGATTGCAAGGCTGTCCAATAGGAATGAGGCCACACCAATCACCTTCCATCCCGGTATCTACATGCAGTTTGTGCTTTCCCTGAGGCAGAGAAGGAATGACCATTAAGATGGGAGAAGAAAAGACAGCACATTACTGTGCACTGAAGATCTGGTCATATGCACCAGGAACCATTCTAGTGATGGCTCATGTAATTTATCATACTTAATTCTAACAACAAACTTAGGTTAGATAGCATCACTTATCAGACCCAATGGCCATGAATTTGAGCAAACTCCAGAAGATAGTGAAGGACAGGTAAGCCTGGTGTGCTACAGTCCATGTGGCTGCAAAGAATCAGACGTGACGTAGTGACTGAACAACATGTACTGAATCATCCTATAGAACTTTCACCTGACTTAATACTAGCAACAGTTTTACAAGGTATCTTACTGTTAATTATTACTTTAACATATCAGAAAATTGGAAGTTTGCAGAGATTAAACTGTCCAGGATGTACAGATAACAAGCAGCAGCAGCAGGATTACTACCTATACCTTCCACTTCCAAAGACTAAACTGATTCCATGTGCTAAAGAGCACTAAAGGATACAGAATTCAAGGGTCTTAATGAAATGCTTGCTTGAGGGTAAATACAACATTGCTTCCTAAGTAAAATCTCTGCTTTTTACCTGGGAACTGGGCTTCTGACCTTTAGAATTCAATGTCAACCCTACTAGTGATTAGTCTGTTTCCTACACCCACAGCTCTAGGAGATGCTCACTGACAAAGTCTGTCTACCAGGAAACAGAATGCCGACCCTGGGAAGTGAGTATGCTCACCTTCTATTCTGATTATGAAATTGGACATAATTTAAAATGTTTTCTATTTTTCAGTTTATAAGAAAGTTAAATGTAATGCTCAATCAAGGCCACAAGGCTTGCTTTTAAATAAAATACTTGGAAACGCTCCTTCTACAAAGTAATGCTTTTCTATTCCCACCCTATTTGCTATTCTGTCCTTAGGGTTACACAGTCTTTTTAAAAAGATACTTCAAGTTCTTTTGGGACAATGTCAACATACGCATACATTCAACAATAGAGTAAAAAAGGTATTTTTTTTTCGTAATTCAAACAACTCTAAAGGAATAAGCACCAAAATATATTCTTCATTTTAATAAAATAATGTTTTAAAGTATATTTAACATATGACATATTACCAGACTAAGGTATCTAGGTATCCTTGTGCAATCATTTTACCTGTGACTAAAGCTCTTGTACTATATACTGTAATCTCTTGAGAACTTATTCTATTGTACACGGGCCTCAAGATACAAGTAGGATTTGTCTTCTGTTAAAAGATTGCTTTTATTAGGGAAAACAGCTCTCTAGGTTACATGAGTTCTTGTATATAACACAAGTTCATTCAGACATTTACTACCGATACAATTCATATACATATATTTCTATTTGAGCATTCAAGGAGAGGGCATAAATTCAATTCTAAGGGCTTGAATATACATTCAAACACAAAGATGATTTCTAAAGAAAATTTAAACTACATTTGAACGTGGTGTCCATTAAGGGAAGAAAGATAGGCAATATACATAGATATACAACAAGAAATAGATGACATGCACGCAGAGAAATGTGGGTGGACTGAAAACACAATGTACTGGGAAAACATAATGCACAGTAGGAAACAAGAATCATGATAAATTAAAGAACCCATCTATAAAATGAAAATAAATGCAAGAACTGCCATACGACCCTGCAATCCCACTGCTGGGCATACACACCAAGGAAACCAGAATTGAAAGAGACACGTGCACACCAATTTTCATTGCAGCACTGTTTACAATAGCTAGGACATGGAAGCAACCTAGATGTCCATCGGCAGATGAATGGATAAGAAAGCTGTGGTATATATAAATAATGGAATATTCAGTCAGCTCAGCTCAGTTCAGTCGCTCAGTCATGTCCGACTCTTTGCGACCCCATGAATCGCAGCACACCAGGCCTCCCTGTCCATCAACTCCTGGAGTTTACTCAAACTCATGTCCATCGAGTTGGTGATGCCATCCAGCCATCTCATCCTGTTGTCCCCCTCTCCTCCTGTCCCCAATCCCTAATATTACTCAGCTATTAAAAAGAATGCATTTGAATCAGTTCTAATGAGGTGGATGAAACTGAAGCCTATTATACAGAGTGAAGTAAGTCAGAAAGAAAGACACCAATACAGTATATTAACGCATATATATGGAATTTAGAAAGATGGTAATGATGACCCTATATGTGAGATAACAAAAGACACACAGATGTAAAGAAAAGACTTTTAGACTCTATGGGAGAAGGCGAGGGTGGGATGATTTGAGAAAATAGCATTGAAACACGTATATTATCATATGTGAAATAGATCGCCAGTCCAAGTTTGATGCATGAGACAGGGTGTTTAAGGCTGGTGCACTGGGATGACCCTGAGGGATGGGATGGGGAGGGAGGTGGGAGGGGGGTTCAGGATGGGGGACACATGTACGCACGCACGGCTGATTCATGTCAATGTATGGCAAAAACCACTACAATATTGTAAAGTAATTAGCCTCCAATTAAAATACATAAATTTTAAAAAGATACTTCTTCTACTAACAAAATTAAAAATATATATTAAAATTTAAAGCATATAAGCATATATACACACACTAACAATTTCCTCTCCCTAATAGGGATTGCTATCTTCCCAGATGACTCAGTGGTAAAGAATCCTCCTGCCAATGCAGGAGATATGAGTTTGATCCCTGGGTTGGGAAGATCCCCTGGAGAAGGAAATGGCAATCCAGTCCAGTATTCTTGCCTGGGAAATTCCATGGACAGAGAAAGCGGGTGAGCTACAGTCCATGGGGTCACAAATAGCTGGATACGACTTAGCAACTAAGCACAATGGGAACTGATACAGGAACAAAAGGTAAGGAATGGATCAAGCAACCAATGAGGACTACTGTCTCAGAGATGATGACATGCTATGAACTAACAAGTATGACTGATCCAGCATTGAAATCTCATACAAGTAACAAATGCATATTTTAGATATGAAGCAATACAAGATTTAGAAATTTTTAGACTTTTCTGGGGCTTCCCTGGTGGCTCAGCTGGTAAAGAATCCACCTGCAATGTGGGAGACCTGGGTTCAATCCCTGAGCTGGGAAGATCCCCTGGAGAAGGAAAAGAAGATCCCCTGGAGAAGACTTTTCTGAAGGAAAAACCAGAGAAAATATTTCAATAATTCTAAACAGTAATTCAGGAAAGAGGAATGATTGGGAGATAGCCATGGGAGAAACTCAAAAGTGAAATAAATACGAATCTCGTTCTTGAATAATGATCTTTGGTGTTTTCATGTAATTTAGAGCACAGGCATATAAACCATATTATTATTATAGAAGTTCTCTACCTATTTCAGTGTAAAAGCAATGCTATAATTTTCAGAAGGCACAGGTAAGGAAAAGAGCAGAAGAAAGTGCAACGGGTCTCATTTCCTCACCCTTTCTGTCATACGGGAATTAGGAAACAGAGCCTAGAGTTGCAGAGTTTTATAAAGGGGATCTGAAAGCTGCTCCTGGCCGGAGTTATAGGTAAAACGGGTAAGGCGCCCACATGGCAGCAATGGGACTGCGAGGTGGGGTCTGAAACAGCTCCATTCTCCAGCCTCAAACCGGTGTCACAGGCGAGCTCTTCACACAGCTGTCTACATGGAAATTGTGACCAGGGCACGGAAGGCAAGGCACAGGGAAGGAAGAAAGGTACCAGATCAGAGATCCAGTCAGGTCTAGGGGACGGCAGCGTGTGAGCAAGGGGCGCGCTTAGCCGAGGCCCTCGTCCGGGAACCCAGGGATGAAACGGAGCCGACAGGAGCGGAGGCGTGCGGGCCGTGCGCATGCGCGGAGGCTGGCTGCGCGGGCAGCGGGTGCACAGGCCCCTGTCAGGAGCAGAGCTATTCTGAGTGACGCTGTGCTGGTGACTAAGCGACGCGAGGAGGCCTCTGTCAAAACCACGGAAAGATCAACACGAGGAGTGAACCCTAATGCAGGTGACGGACCTTCCTTAATCATGTATAACACTGGCTCACTATTTGTAACCCATGTACCACACTAATGCAAGATAATAGGGGAAACTGCTGGTGGGAGAAGTGGGTATGTGGGAACTCAAATTGGCTCAATTTTCTGTAAATGTAAAACTACTGTAAACATAAACAGCATTATTATCTTTTTTTTTAAGTCTCTCAATGACCTTTTCACTTTCTCATCCCTTAACGAACAGCAACAGGCGCTGGTGGGTTTGAAACCACAGCCAGCCAGATGAACCACACACGGGGAACAGGCAGCAGCTTTTCACCTGTCTTTACCACTTTATTCTGCTGCCCCCCCCACCCCCGCCTGCCAAGAAAAAAGGTGGTCTTCTGTTTCCTTTTTATTTCCAGATATGAGCTACCTTTATTTCTTTGTTTAGAATTTTTCCCTAAGCTTATTTATGCTGAAATAGCTTGACACATCAATTTTGAGTTTTGTTTCTCCCTACTAAAAATAATTCTCTCTGACAAAACAGGAGCTAAATTTAATACAAATTATCGACCAGAGGTGCCAGATGTAACAGCCCTTAACAAACTCAGAAAGTAGTTACAAAGACTCTTTTCTCATCAAAGGAGTTCATGAGAGAGGGTACTGCAGAAATTTCTGATTTCCTTAGAATTGCTTTGGCTTCAGCAGTAAAGGACTAGGAATGATGGTCACATGTCGCGGACAGATCCCAGCCTGATGACGGCTGGACTGCCCGGGGCCCATCAGAAAGCACAGCACATCAGAGGGGTTGCAGGGAGTTGCGGTCTCCTGGGTACTGGGTGGCAGGGTACATGGGACCAAGAAGGGTAGGAGATGCTCATCTGGACCAGGTGTTTCTACCTCTGTCTCTGGTAACATGTTGCTGACAATTAAAACTGTCACTTCTTCATTTCTCATCAAAGAGCGACTCATGGGTCCTTGGGTATCTTATTTTCAATGTGTTACTGTTAATTCCTGTCTTTTCAACTCGTTCCTCCTTCTGTGGCCTACTTAAT